AAAAAAAAAAAAAAAAAAAAAAAAAAAAAAAAAAAAAAAACTCCCAACCATCAAAGTCAGGGTGATCAGAATTTAGCACTGAATTCAAACCTTTCAATTTTCCAGACAAATCATAGGCCCCAGAAGATTAAACTGTCTTGCCTAGTCAGAATGAAGGTAAGAATACCCAGAAGCCAGGCCTTTCTACCTTACATTGGGACTCTATGACCTCAATCTTTTGAGGGAGAAAAAGGTAAAAGAAGAAGGAAGGAGATGGTTATGTCCCTCCAGCTACAGTTAATGAAAACTGGACATTCTCATAGTTTCCTGGGGAGGAGGGAAAGGGATTAAGTTGGGGGTGATGGTTCCCCTAAGAAACACAGTATAGAAACACTATGTACATGTAGAAGGCCGCCAACACTCACCCAGAAAATAACAGATTTGTCACACAGGTAGGCTTCTTTGAACACAGTGCTAAAGCCTCACTATGTAACAAATTTACTTCCATCCAGTCTACTATTGTTCTAGAAAGTTCTGTGACTTACCTCACGGTACTTCTGTAAGGCTAAGTATATGGTTTACACTGAGCACCATGTAAGGCTTCATTTATTTCCTTTTCCTTACTTCTTTTCCTTCCTATCGTCTACTTACATTCCTTCCTTCATCCACACTGTCATCTTATTCCCTTTTCTGAATGTTTTATTATTTAATCATGTGTGCTTTTAATCCTGACTTCCAGACATTCAAACTAATCTTTATTAGTCAACCAGCACTGCTAATCTTTTGGTTAGCATAGATGTTTTCTGTTTTTCTTTTCCTTTTAATACAGCCCACCTGAGGAGAAAGGAATAATTTTTAAATCTTCTGGGAAGGAGATAAGCATAAATAAAGTTCCATAATGAAAATTTTGTTTTAAAAAAACACTTTGGGGTATCAAAAATCATTTAGTTTTGTTGTTTTTATGACACCGAGGAAATACAGAGATTAAATATGATCACATAATACATTCATTCCTTTTTTATCTGTTTTCCCTTCCCTGTCTCTGCTCTCTCCACCTCTTGGTTCCCTTCTTTTTCTGTACATGTTTGCAATATATACTGTGTACATTCTTAGTAGGGAATTGGTATATGTATATAATATAACATGCACATGTACTAACTCTCCACTAGGAATGCAAACATTCTGTACTACCAACATGCACTAGGACAGATAGATAGGTAGGTAGATAGATTGATCATATACCCCCCTTACCTACACTGTCTTTTGGGCCTGCCCCCAACCCTCCCAAGAGACCAAGAAGTCTTGGTTCAAGCCACTTATGAGAATCTGGATCTTTATCCACATCCAAAGTTCTCCTCTATGCTCTGCTTTGCTTGTTTTTCCCCATTCCAGTATTGGGTACTGAGTTTTGTGCTGAGTTACACCCACAGCATTTTTATTTTTTATTTTGAGACTAAGTCACTAAGTTGATCAGCCTGAGCTCAACTCGAGATCCTCCTGCCTCAGCCTCGCAGACTTCTGGGATTACAGGCATGTGCCATCATGCCTGGATTGGCTCTGAGATTTTAAAAGTACATAACTCTGTATGTGAAGTGGTATACAAAAATCTATTACAGGGCTGGGGATTTAGCTCAGTAGTTCTACTGCCTGTCTTGCAAGTACAAGATCCAGAGTTAGATCCCCAGTACAAAAAAAAAAAAAAAAAAAAAAAAAAAAATCTATTATAGCCGGGTGTGGTGACACATGTCTGTAAACCCAGCACTTGGGAGCCTGAGGTAGAGAATCGAATCTCATCAAGTTCCAGGTCAGCCTGAGCTATATAGTAAGTTCAAGGACATCCTGAACCTCATAGCAAGATCCTGCCCCCTCAAAAAAAGAGAAAGAGGAAAGGAGGTGGAGGAGGAGGAGGGAGGGAGGGGGAGGGGAGGAGAGAGGAAGGAAGGAAGGGAGGGAAAAGAAATATATTACACATCTATCACTTGTAATAATTTCAGTCTTTTTGAATTTCTACTTAGAAATGTTTCACCTATTAACACTGTTGAACAGCATCAACAGTCCCTATTAATGAAAAACAAACTGTAGTTAGATGGATCTTGCTTTACTGAGAAGGGCCAAAGTCTTCGTGAGATTCGTTTAAAAGAGTTTCAAGACGAGGTAACTTCTAATCCACCCAAATATCCATGATGGAATAATTTCTTTGGTTATTTAAAACTCCATTATTTAACAAATGTAGAAATATTTCTACCAATTCCTCACAGCATGGAGGAAGAAGATGAAAAATGGGGAAGGGCATCTAGGGCTTAGCTTCAGCTCCCAGGTTCCGGGCATCTCTTGTGTGGGAAGAGCTTTCCCATGATGACTAGGGAGTCCCTGTTGGTCCCCCAGTTCCTTTTCCACATCCACAGGACCTCACCCTCGGAGGCTGGCTGGGTGGGACTCACCACATGCTCGCTGGGGTCATGGCTGAAGCCAGAGGCCTGCTGGCTTTGATAGTACTCGAGCTGCTTTTCGGCCAGTTCTACCCGATGCAACAGATTCTCAATGAAGTCCTGGAGCCGAGCTTTACCTTGAACCTCCTTCTCAGCTGCTGCTTCCAGGAAATGGTTGAACGTAACAACTTCTCTACAAGGCAAACATGTCAGAGCATGAAGTGGAGAAAAGAGACAGGGGTTATGCATCGATGGTGCCCATGCTATGTCCTACAGGGCTCAGCAGTGGCAATGTTGAAGGAGATAAGGTTGCATCTTGTTGAGTACATTTTAGTAAAACCTGCTAGTCATAATATACACAAATAAACACGTGTCAAGAGCGAAGAACACTGAAACTAAGGACAAGGAAACAAAGCGGAGAGGAAGGGGAATGATGGGTAATATTTTAGAAAGCAGCGAGGGACCCCCAACTGGGTGGGGAAACATCTGAAAAGAGACCTGAAAGAAGTCCTAAGGAACAAGCCAGGCAGACACCTGAGAAGAGCGAAACAGACATATCTGGGATGTGGAGGTGGGGATGAGACATCACCAGCACCAGCAGGTCTGCTGGGGGAAGGGAGCGAGGGCAGGCCTCACAGACCAGTGTGAGAATTTCAGTTTTTATTTAAGACGAGACGGCGTATCACTGGATGATTTTGAGACAGGTTTTGACTTTGATTTTAAAAGTATGGCTGTTGGGAAGAAAAGTTTGTAGAGAAGGCAGGTATGAAGGCAAGAAGTTACACCGAGCTGTTCATAAAATGAGTCATTGTGTCTACCAATGTAGTTGTGAGCTACATATGAAACAGTGCAAACAGGTACCGTACGGCCAACCCCAAGCCCACTGGAAAGCTATCCTGGCCCTGGCACAGGACACACAATGGGAAGGCTGCCCTCCCTGCAAAAGCCACACAAAATACCTTAATGTTTTATCTCCATATTTGTTACAGAGTCACAAATCCAGAAAATTTATTGCCATTTTATATTTTCTATTTACTTTTAACCTAAGTATAAAAATAACATTTTTCTGATTTACAAAACAAAAAAGCTCTTTATAAAAAGTTCATATGACACATATAAAAAGGAAAAAGCTAAAAGTATTATTTTAAGGTTGCCATCATTAATGTTTTGGTAGGCAGACCCATGAGCATCTGTTTATGATCACAAACACATAGAGCTTTCCTTTCCTTACCTTAACCTCCCCTCTAATCCCTCTTCTCTATACCCTCTTTTCCAGCTAATGAACCTTCAGGTAATCCACACCACCAAAAGATGTACATTATCACCGTTCTCATCACCTTACTTCTTTCAAAGAAATCACAACCAGCCTTTTAGTCATGCCCTTTGTATGTTCTGCCATCTCTACTGAGCTATTCAGTTCCACAGTTTCAGTATCTGTTGGAAATAGTATTTCCTTTAGGTGTCTTCAAATTCTCTCTCAACCTTCAAGTCATTGTTCTGGCCATATTCAATTTACACAGTCAAGATTCTAAAGATTCTGATCACTATCCCATCAGTCTCTTTGAATTTATTTATTATTATTTGTGTGTTTGCTTTTTGAGACAGGGTCTCACTATGTAGTTGAGACTGACCTGGAACTCACTATATAGCCTAGGCTGGTCTTGAACTCACAGTGACCCTCTTGTCTCAGCCTTCCGAGTGCTGGGATTACAGAAGTGCGCCACCATGCCCCGCTCAGCCTCTCTGAATTTAAATTAATGAACTCTAGGGCTGGGGATTTAGTTCGGTGGCAACATGCCTGGCTTGCAAGCACAAAGTCCTGAGTTTGATCCACCATACCACACAAAAAAAGAAAGAATAACTTAATGAACTCTAGTTTTCATGTATCTAACCTCATTTAGTTCTTCTAGACAGTGAATCCAACACGTTGCCTACAGCAACTTCTCAATCTCCACTTGATTTTTAGTTCCCACTAAGCTCTATCAGTTCTGGAGAACAAAACTTCTGGTGAGTCTGGTTCAAGAAATTAGTTCTATATAAGATCTTCAAAATAGCTATTGGTAGCTTCCAGATCCTTTTATACTGTATCTCTCACAAACACAGTACCTAACATCTGATGGTACTTTAAGTACCAACACTTCCTACAAAGGCAAAGATTTCTAAAATAAACCTTAGAAAGTATATTTTATAAAATTAGAGAACAGATCGGCTGTACCAATAACTCATTCAAAGAAATGCTCATGATACCACTTCCCTTTCTTCTGGTTTCCTATTCAAAATCAAATATAAACCCTACTCTATAATAATTCCATTACCTTTCAGTACCTAAGAAATATCCACAAAAGAGAAAGAAAAATCCTTTTGGAAAAGAGTTTTCTTTCAATAACTGTCAAGTTTACTTCCACATGTTTCCATGTGAGCTGTCAACAGATGTGTGCTTTCCAAGGTCCTCGTCATTCCGGCCATGGACACAAGCCAATTTCCAAACTCTACTGTCAGCTGCTTTAGTCTATTTCCTAGATGAGCTGCAAACCTCAACTAGCAGCAAGAGCAAAGGGCCCATCCAGGTGGTATGCACGGCCCTTTCATGGGTCCTGGTTGTGGTTTAGATCCTATGGATGGAGAATTATTTCAACTCAAACACCACTGGAAATACAGCCCAGAAAAATGGCTGCTATACATTCTCTTTCCAACATTAAGGCTTCAATTTACTGGAAGACAAGCTCATTAAAGAGATTTCCTGTGTGATATTTAAGGCACCTGACTTGTGAAACAGTCTCCAAATTGTATGCACTGAGAAATCAACAAAAGGGTGGCCATTTTTTCAATTCATTCTGGTTTATAATATTTACTATATTTATCATATTTCAGAGATATTTCATACTTCTGGGAAATACAAATATCAACCTCTTGGAAGATTCCCCAATTAGGGAGGGGCCTTTTTGTCTTCCTAAACCCCGGACTCAATACAATGCTTTACACAGATTCAACAAAAATTTTTGTACTTAATGTTTACAGAGGACAAAGAAATCAAAAGTCACCTGTATTCTCACCACCAAGAGGTAACTACTATTAACGTGCTGGCTTGTTTTTCCCAGTCTTTTTCCTCTGTGCATAGTTACTGTGCTCCAGCTCCCTGGCTATGGTCTAGCACATGAGAACACAGCAACTGACAGACTAATCTCACAGGATTAGTATCACAAAAGCAAGAGAACAAATCTGAATGCAAAACTGCTAATAACTGTGGTTGTATTTGTATTTCTAAATCACATAATATTTTGCTGCTGATTATATACAAGACTTTTAAAAATTAATATAAATGCTCCTAGCTGATTGTAGAGTGTTATACAACACTGTAGAAAAGAAGGATCTTTTTCTAACCTCCTTCATTCAATTATCTTCTGGCCTGAAGCTAAGAAGTTAATAACCTTTGCATTTTTTAAGCAACCTGGCACTGATGCTAACAATTTCAGTTCGTGAATGTGTAACACCGACTAGAAGGGGAAAAAAGGATCATTAAAATAAACCTGATGGTTCAGTATTATTTTGTTTTTAAAGAGAAGTTAAACACACAAGACAAGGACTGAGTCAGCTTATAGTACTGAGATTGTGTGAGGCACCCTTATTAGATGAAAACAGAACCAAACTCAGCCACTAATTGCGGAATAGCAGGTGTACATATCTCAGATCCCTCCTTTCAAATCCTGTTCATTTGGATGAACGATATCCAGAACGACCTCTTTATTTCTCCAAGGAATTGGGGGAATTTTCTGAATGGAAAAAAAATAGTTTAGCCACATTGCATTTATAATCTTTTAAATAATTATACATCAAACAGTAAAAGAACCATTCAAAGTGTTGATACAGACTAATATTTTTCTCTGTAAAAGAACAAAATGTTCATTACATGGTTTCAGAACCCACGTTGCAATTAATCTTTAAGAAACAACCAATTGTCACATTTTGGCATAGCATCAAAACAGAACACCCACCATCACTTGAAAAGGATATTTAAAGCCCTGTCCCTTTCTTCCTAAGACTAGACCTTTGTCATCTATTCAAAGACAAAAATGAATTTGACCAGACTCAATACAGAACTACTAACATTGAAATGCTTCCTATAAATCCACATATCCAAAAATACTGGAAAAACATTAAACACTACCACTCTTTTCCTAAATGGTTTTGGGGAAAATAGTTGTTTTCATAAAAATGTGTTATTTATGTTAACATGTAATGAGAGAGAGAGACATTAAAAGCAGCAAATACTAAAATATGTAATTACCAAGAAGAGATGAATGTGACTAAGAAAAAGAATAATATGATGCTATCAGAGCTATCAAAGACTTGTGTGGTTTTTACTCTAGGTTGTCACCCTTCTGACTCAGAAGACAGTGTGAAGGCAGCTGGTCAGATGAGAAGATAAGGACAAACCTGAGTGAAATTCAATCAGGACAAGGGGACAGAACAGCTCTGGGGAAATTAACTTTTAACCGCTTCAAAGCCACTTCTGGCCCCATCTTTGACTGCTTGTTCAAGGGCAGAAAAAAAGCTAAATATTATTACATCCAAGATTAGATGTCAAATGTGCTTATTTAAAGGAATATTTGACACTAAATGGAAAAAAAACAGCATAGTATATAAGAAACTGACCTTGAAGTTCATTATTATGCAAACTAATTTCCACACCTGGAAATCTTACGGTATCTCAGGATTCACAAGCATCTGGAAAGCTTTAAGGCAGAAAGGGTTCACTGAGGGAAAAAGCTCTTTACAGTCAAGGCGTTGGTTCAAATAATATTCATTCCCTCATGCACTTGTTTAATTACATAAGGTCTGAGAGACAGATAGTATTTCACTGTTCACAGATGGAACACACTCAATGACTTCTTTTAAGGTGAATTAAAGACAAGTTAATTCTGAAAAATCAAAAACACTCTATCATACAAACAACACATCTAGAAGCACACGCAGACTGATGGAAACGTGCATTCATGCCTCATGGAGTGCACTCTTGATTTTGCACAGGCAGACAGGTGTGCATTGTTAATGAGGGACAATGTGCCAATCCCCCATCTTTAAAGTCTACCATCCATACACCATGTCTGATGTCTATTTGAACTCCCTTCATCCTTCTACCCAGCCAGACTCTTATTTTGGACATGCTGTTCCCCAGGGTTTCTTCCCACCCTT